CTGTTCACTTGCGCTGTATGAGATGGAAGGGAGATCCATGCTATCATGGCTCTGTATAATACTGTGTGTTTCCTTGAATTTGTTCTGGACCTGGGGACTGTGAAAAGACCCCTGGTGGCTTGTCTGATAGGGTAAGTGTGTGTGTAAGTGCTGTATGTAAGTTGACTATGCAAACAATTTGGAATTCCCAACACATTAATGTTTCTTATAAAAACAAGAAGCGATGCAGTTAGTCTTTCCTCAACTCTTATCCAAGAGAGACTGGCATGCATAGTATTGATATTAGCCCCCTCATTATAATGAAGAGAAAAACAGGCTGCTCTGTTCTAGGCCAGCTGCAGCTTAACTAGGTCCTTCTTTGCAGCACTTGATCATATGCAACACTTGACCATAATCAAGATAAGATCAAACTAGAGCCTGCAGCATTGTATTTAGTCAAACACAACTTTTCCCAACAGTTTGCTAAGAGCTGGCCTGAGGACAAACACTTTCCTTTAAATTCAGATTAAAGATATGATAGATAGAGTCAGCTAACATCCTCAGTAGCTTTCCATCAAATGCTCGGTCTGAACATTAACACACATCACTTGTGGTACAGTTTTGGAAGCATAAGGACCTTATCTTTCATATCAGCAATAAATAATTTTCAGAAAACAAAATGTTTAATTGATACAAATCTTATAGTGTTAGGGTTCCCACAGGGCCATATTTCTATGCTACAGCGCTTGTTTACGGACTAACTGTGCTAATTGGCTATCTGCGTTTCCGAAAACCTGTGTGTAAAGAAAGACGAACGCCACAAACGTGTTTTCACTGAAAAATACTGTGCCCAGCAGAGGAGACTGGTGGGAGGAGCTATAGGAGGACATGCTCATTGTAAAGACTGGAATGGAATCAATGGAACGGTATCAAACATATGGAAACAATATGTTTGACTACGTTCCATTAATTCCATTACAGTCATTACAATGAGTGAATCATCCTATAGTGCCTCCCACCAGCCTCCTCTGGTGTACAGTAAGTGTGTAGTTTGCATTTGTGAAATTATATTGATGTGATATGAAAGTAGAGGAATTTATGTTTCTAGAATTTATTCACGTTTAGATGGAGTATTTGGCTGTTTTGGCTTCCAGAGCCAATTCGCCTTTAAACAGAACATGTAAGGTCCTTGGACTATAAGGAGTAATGTTAGGGCCTTTAGCCTTTAGGCAGCCTTTCTGTTTGAAGTGGCTGTTGTTATGGTAATCACATTCCCCAAGGCTGCCTGCTAGCAAAGAATATCTTGGTCGTGTTCCGCTGTTCAGATGTTTCATGCATCATGCATCAACCAATGGTTGCGTGCCATGTCATCGACCGTGTCATCGACTGTGTCATCGACTGACAGATTGCTATAACATACACTACCAGTCAAAAGTTTGGACGCACCTACTCATTTTTACAACTTTTTATATTGTAGAATAATAGTGAAGACATCAAAACTATGAAATAACACATATGGAATCATGTAGTAACCAAAAAAGTGTTAAACAAATCAAAATATATTTTATATTTGAGATTCTTCAAATAGCCACCTTTTGCCTTGATGACAGCTTTGCACACTCTTGGCATTCTCTCAACCAGCTTCATGAGGTAGTCACCTGGAATGCATTTCAATTAACAGGTGTGCCTTGTTAAAAGTTAATTTGTGGAATTTCTTTCCTTCTTAATGCGTTTGAGCCAATCAGTTGTGTTGTGACAAGGTAGGGGGGGGGGGTTTACAGAAGATAGCCCTATTTGGTAAAATACCAAGTCCATATTATGGCAAGAACATCTCAATTAAGCAAAGAGAAACAACAGTCCATCATTACTTTAAGACATGAAGGTCAGTCAATACGGAAAATCTCAAGAACTTTGTACGTTTCTTCAAGCGCAGTCGCAAAAACCATCAAGCGCTATGATGAAACTGGCTCTCATGTGGACCGCCACAGGAATGGAAGACACAGAGTTACCTCTGCTGCAGAGGATAAGTTCATTAGAGTTACCAGCCTCAGAAATTGCAGCCCAAATAAATGCTTCACAGAGTTCAAGTGACACATCTCAGCATCAACTGTTCAGAGGGGACTGTGTGAATCAGGCCTTCATGGTCGAATTGCTGCAAAGAAACCACTACTTAAGGACACCAATAATAAGAAGAGACATGCTTGGGCCAAGAAACACGAGCAATGGACATTAGACCGGTGTAAATTTGTCTATTGGTCTGGAGTCCAAATTTGAGATTTTTAGTTCAAACCGCTGTGAGACACTGTGCGGGTGAACAGATGATCTCTGCATGTGTAGTTCCCACTGTAAAGTATGGAGGAGGAGGTATTATGGTGTGGGGGTGCTTTGCTGGTGACACTGTCTGTGATTTATTTAGAATTCAAGGCATACTTAACCAGCATGGCTACCACAGCATTCTGCAGCAATACTCCATCCCATCTGGTTTGGGCTTGGTGGGACTATCATTTGTTTTTCAACAGGACAATGACCCAACACACTTCCAGGCTGTGTAAGGGCTACTTTACCAAGAAGGAGAGTGATGGTCCTCCCCTCTGCAATAACCACCTTTCATGAGGAGTCATGTGTTTCCTTTGCGGAAGAGTTTTGCTATCTGCCACACCCCCTTTAAATCAGGTTTTGTTGGAGGAGAAATGCACACGTTTAAAAACAGTATGCTACTTATTGTTTTATCTATAAAATGTCTTGCACAACTAACTTAATTTGTTTTTATCACTTTACACATTTATTTTGGGATCCACCCCTGTAAAAGTAATTTGCCTGATGACACGCGAGTGGAGAAGGAGAGTCTCATTTCATACAAGCACATTTTGGTCCACGTTCCCTCTCCTCGACACCTCTCCTCAATTAAGTTTTACCTTTTTCAAAAGGAGGCGAGAGAGACCGGAGGAGAGAGGAAGCAGGAGTTGAGCAAATCCAATTGAGAAAAGGCCCATGCCTGTTAGCTAGACATTTTAACAACAAAAAACATTGGGTTCATGACAGTAACAATGTTGCCGAGGTCAAATGATAATATTTATATTTTGTTGAAACATATAGGCCTAACATGTCCTGCAATTTCTTGTTACATTTTAACGTGTAGCCTAATATGCAATATTTTAAAAAGAACACAGACATGTTTGCTTAAAAAATGCACACAACATAGTTGAGGGTGACTCCGAAACAAATAATACATAAGCCTAAAGTGGAAAGGAAAAAAATAATTAGGCAGCATGAAGCCTACATCTCAATTCCATGTAAATTAATGTAGCCTACATTTTTACGCAATAAAAATAATTCTGCAAATTTTCTCATCGATGAAACATTTGATCTCAATACAGTTTTCTGTTCCCAAAACTAGAATCTGTTAACGAACAGAGTGGACTAAGTTTTGTAGACTTTACCCTTTGCTAAAGTTTAAAAAAATGCATTGTTTAGAAGGAGTGCAAAGGCAAATTGAGTTATTGCACATGCGCACTTCACAGAGTAGGCGTTTCCTAACGGAAATTTGCAAATGTATGCTACAACGCGCCAATAGGATCGTGCAAGCTCGTGCTTGGCTCTGCCCACCTCCTTGCTTGTTCTGCCCACTATGACTAATTTGTTCCCATTTGAAACGACGGGCTGTGGTCTATCTTGGTTTAGTTATAAAAAATCTTTGCCGCAAGATCGTGAGACTTCTGGGAACGCTTGTGAAGGAGACATAGCAGACCAGGCTGGGGTTTGGCAAGCCAATGAGAGAAGTGAAAGATTCTGCCTTAGTTGTTAGTTTTCTTGAAATATAAAGGCAAAACCTAGATTCTAGACAATGTTTTATTTTTTTTAATATTTTTACTTTTACCCATTTTTCTCCCCAATTTCCTGATATCCAACTGGTAGTTACAGGCTTGTCCCATCGCTGCAACTCCCCTACGGACTCGGGAGAGGCGAAGGTCGAGGGCCATGCGTCCTCCGAAACACGACCCTGCCAAGCTGCACTGCTTCTTGACACACTGCTCGCTTAGCCCGGAAGCCAGCCACACCAATGTGTCGGAGGAAACACCATCCAACTGGCGACTGAAGTCAGCTTGCAGGCGCCCGGCCCGCCACAAGGAGTCGCTAAAGCGCGATGGGATAAGGAAATCCCTGCAGGCCAAACCCTCTCCTAACTCGGATGACGCTGGGCCAATTGTGCACCGCCTCATGGGTCTCCCGGTCACTGCCGGCTCTGTAGTGACTCCTCAAGCACTGTGACCCAGTGCCTGAGACCGCTGCGCCACTCGGGAGGCCTGTCTTAAGTAGTTGAACCTTGTGGAAGTGACAAACTGACACGTTTTAATTTTAGTCTAAAACAACTTTATATCAAAGGAGTGCCTTTGATTTGACAGCGCGATTCGGAGAAAGATGACCTTTATAACCGATGACGTATTTCTACGCATGAGCTTAGCTAGCCAACGTCGTCATGACATCGGCTACAAGTGTGATCAGGGATTTATTTTGGAGAAGCAGTTTTAGCCTATCTTCAATCTGTACTGTCTTTGAGTTAGCGAGTCAGAAATGTCTGAGTTTCCGAGTTCCAACTAGCACATGAACGCGGCAGGCCATCGCGATTTCATCAAGAATATGATCACTGGGACATCACAGGTAAGCTGTGCATGGTAGCCTGGGGGGGTTTGCAGTTTAGGCCAGGGATGGGAAACTCCAGTCCTCAGGGGCTGGTGTGGTGTCACACTTTCCCCCATCCCTAGCAAACACAGCTGGTTAAACTAATTGCATTCTAAGCTGAAGATCATGCTTAGTTGATTATTGGAGTCGGGTGTGTTGGCTGGGGCAAAAGTGACACCATAGGACTAGTTGCCCATCCCTAGTTTGGACCAATGTGAATGATTGGTCTTGGTGGTAACCTAATCTTGTGCCTTTGTTCACCATTCATTCCAGGCTGATGTTGCCCTTCTGGTGGTGTCTGCTGTCAAAGGGGAGTTTGAGGTGGATGTGACTGAGCCAAGATGGATGTGACTGAGCCAACATGCAGCCAGAAGCGTTTTGGGGAAGTGATCCGAAGCGTGAGCATTTTCCTCAAAAGAATCGGCTACGATCCCACTGCTGTGCCATTCGTTCCGATCTCGGGCTGGACAGGGGAGAACATGTTTGCCCTATCTCAGAATGTGAGTGGTTTTTGATAGAATTCATCATTTCAGCACATTTAATTTACAAAGATGTATTTGTCTTCAATGCATGAGCTTAACCCTCTTCTGCTGTGTAGATGTCCTGGTTCAAAGGCTGGAAAGTCAGGAGACTGGAGGGGCATGCAAACGGGAGAACTGGGAGGCTGCCCCTGCAGGATGTCTACAAGATCGGAGGTGAGTGGTGGCTCAAGATGCCTACAGTACATTTGTCACTTTCCCCAAAAACGGAGTAGTTGTACTCTCTTCCCTCTGTGCTGCAGGAGTGGGCACGGTTCCAGTGGGGAAGATCGTGACTGGGATTCTGAAGCCCGCTATGATCCTGTCGTTCTCCCCTGCCAAGCTTACTGCAGAGGTTAAGTCCATTCAGATGCACCACCAGGGTCTGGAGATAGCCGGGCCGGGCCACAACGTGAGCTTCAACATCAAGAACGTGGCTGTGAAGAACCTCTGCCGTGGAGATGTGGCTGGCAACACCCAGCATGACCCTCCCTCTGACGTCAACAGCTTCGTGGCACAGGTACGCATATGACCGTATCACTAGCTGAACTTGGCAAATATAGCGTTGCATGTGATTGTCATATTACTTAGCGCTATATTGTCTGAATGTAGATACGTTGTCAAATCAGACAATCTTCCCTGGTATAGGATGTTAATTTCTGTTCCCTACTAGCTGAGAACTTTGGACTATGCTGTAGCCCAGTGCTGTGCTCATTTAATTATTTACTTCCCACAGCTCATAATCCTGAACCATCCTGGCAAAAATCAAGACTGGCTACTCTCCTGTACTGGACTGCCACACCACCCACGTAACCTGCCGCTTTTCAGAGCTGAAGGAGAAGCTTGACTGTCGCACAGGGAAGAAGCTGGAGGACTTTCCCCAGACCCTGCAGTCTGGAGACGCTGCTACTGTCAAGATGATCCCCAACAGACCTCTCTGTGTGGAGAGCTTCTTCACCTACCTTCCTTTAGATACACTACGCTTCTCGACATCTTTTCAGGGTAACATCACTGGCAGTGAGCTTGGAACTGGTAGCTTTTGCTGCATAACATTTTTCTAGATCAATGTTTTACTAGCACATGGCTTTCCTTCATGTACATGTCTGATCTTAACAAATGGCTGCTTGTTCAACAGATGCTCCCCATCTAGACTATGGCTGACTTTGGTAATTGTATCTGTTCCTTCCCTCAGGTCGGTTTGAAGCAAGGGACTTGAAGCAGACTGTTGCTGTGGGAGTCATTAAGACAAAGGCTCAAAGATGCATGCACAGAAATGCCGAGTCTCAAAATGAATAAATTGTATTTGACCAGTTCTGTTATGAAAAGAGCTTGAAGATAAAGCATTACGTTGACTGTGTATGAAGTTGCATTTAGATTTGACTCATCTGGAGTGACTTACGGAATTGAATGGCCTGTTGAGGTTTAGACTGGAATGTTTAAATGTGCAAAAAGCTTCAGACTGAAATAAGTGTTTTACTTTCCCTGTTTCACTGATGTTCTGTACATTTGTGGCAAATCTTGTGCGACTATTCCTTTAGAAGTGACTACATTAGTGTTAGTTTCTATACATACTGCTTTGCATTGGTAAAATTAAGGCAGCAGGGTTTAGTGACATTATTCTTACTATTGGCATATAAAGAAGGCAAATGATTCAAATCCATTACAACAAAACACGTTTAATACAATGGCATGATTGGGGTTGATATTCCTTTACATGGAGTGTAAATCAGAGGAATTAGTCAATGGGGTGAAGGGTACATCTATCGGTTTCCTCTCTGCAATGACCCGTCCGAAAAGTACTGTGTTCTAAGGATAACACTTGGCTAGGTAAACTTGATTTCTGCTTGACTGCCTCTTTCTGGATGGCTTTAAATGTCAATGCCGGCTTAATCTTAGTTTGTCTCAACAGTGGCACTCGTGACTCCTGTCCCGTGTATAAATCCTGATTTGACGTAACCCTGTATGGGTTTGAAGTGTAATTGGACATTTGTTCAAATCTCTCCCTAGGCCATCTGAGAACACTCACCAATTACTGCTTAGACTGCCCTCGTTGACCTTCCCATGTACTCATGAGTGTGTAGCTATCAGAAGTGGTTCTTCAAACCCTGAGTGGCTTTTTTAAAAATAGCCCTGCTCAATTCCAGTCATGTTTACACAATGCACAGAAAGGTCTACGTAGTAGGGTGGAGATGACTGGTCGCACAGTGAAACGGTGTTAGGAGTAAACTACTGGAGATCTGTGAGGTTCCACAGGGGCTTCTGACATCCCACCATACAGTAGCAGCAGGTGTGATACTGAATACATGTGCACACAAAGCGAACAAGGAATACACAATTAATACTTCATGAGTTATGGTAGGTCACAGTTGGAGACATGAGAATCTCTCTTCAGTCTAATGGTGTCTCCAGAAATGCAAGCAATGATATCAGTGATGACCACCAGTAAAATGATTACAGATAATATTCAAACACGGCTGCCCTGATACTTGGTTATCTGGCAGGCAGAGAGCACATGTATGATTGTACATGTTTGTACAATAAAACATGGATAGACACACACACAGAAATATATATACATACATATATACACACAGTAACAGCATAAACATAGACTTTAGGGTAAGTGCTAGGTTTTGAGAGTGGCTATGACAGCCATAGGCCATGCTCTAAGGTTAAGATAATACTGGTAAGAATACTCATTTTATTTACAACATGGATGTGCTCAGCATCCAGTGGCTAGTTGAGCCTACTTGGGTTTCTTCATTGTTTTTTTCTTTAGCAAACTGGTTTCATATGTTGTTACAGTAGTTATTTACAGAACATGGATACTTCTAGGGGTGAGGGTGGGGGCTCAGTGCAAGCCTTGTCTGGCTGTCAGTCACTTAGGATGTGGACAAAGGACATTGGGAACGCCCCTTTCCTCTCCGTCTGCCCTTCAATGTGGCCGATCTGAAAGGAAACAGAGAGAGAGATAATGTGTTAGGTGAGGGGAACCGCACTGGACAGTAATGTTCAATGTTTAGCCTGCTATAAGGTCTGTTTGACTGTGTGAGTACGGCAAAGTTGTAACTAGTTAAGGTAACACCAGTGAGCCTGCTAGGTTGTAACTAGTTAAGGTAACACCAGTAAGGGTGTAACAGTTTAAGGGTACCACCAGTGAGCCTGCTAGGGGGCCGTTACTCACCCACCACTCCCCGTCCTCCTCTCCTGTCACTATGATCACCTCTCCCTCCACAAACGTCAGCTCGTCATCGTTGTCAGCCTGGCAATCATAGATAGTCTTCACCCGCCGAGATTTGGTCTTCCCCTAAACACACACATGAACATTACCAAAATGTCACCAGAGACAAGTCAATAGTATGTGGACTGGACTGGTTGACAAAACGTTCTGTGTTGTGACCCACCAATTAACAATGCCACCACAACCCTGTCTGTGGTCTCAACCCAAGAGGAACTGGCCACAACCCACCTGTGGGAACCCACTACTATTTGCGGAACTACCTACAGTGGCTTGCGAAAGTATTCACCCCCCTTGGCATTTTTCCTATTTTGTTGCCTTACGACCTGGAATTAAAATTGATTTTTGGGGGGTTTGTATCATTTGATTTACACAACATGCCTACCACTTTGAAGATGCAAAATATTTTTTTTTGTGAAACAAACAAGAAATAAGACAAAACAATAGAAAACTTGAGTGTGCATAACTATTCACCCCCCAAAGTCAATACTTTGTAGAGCCACCTTTTGCAGCAATTACAGCTGCAAGTCTCTTGGGGTATGTCTCTATAAGCTTGGCACATCTAGCCACTGGGATTTTTGCCCATTCTTCAAGGCAAAACTGCTCCAGCTCCTTCAAGTTGGATGGGTTCCGCTGGTGTACAGCAATCTTTAAGTCATACTACAGATTCTCAATTGGATTGAGGTCTGGGCTTTGACTAGGCCATTCCAATACATTTAAATTTACAGTCATTTAGCAGACACTCTTATCCAGAGCGACTTATATGAGCAATTAGGGTTAAGTGCCTTGCTCAAGGGCACATCGACAGATTTTTCACCTAGTCGGCTCGGGGATTAGAACCAGCGACCTTTCGGTTACTGGCACAACGCTCTTAACCACTAAGCTACCTGCCGCCCTAAATGTTTCCCCTTAAACCACTTGAGTGTTGCTTTAGCAGTATGCTTAGGGTCATTGTCCTGCTGGAAGGTGAACCTCCGTCCCAGTCTCAAATCTCTGGAAGACTGAAACAGGTTTCCCTCAAGAATTTCCCTGTATTTAGCGCCATCCATCATTCCTTCAATTCTGACCAGTTTCCCAGTACCTGCCGATGAAAAACATCCCCACAGCATGATGCTGCCACCACCATGCTTCACTGTGGGGATGGATGGTGTTATCGGGGTGATGAGAGGTGTTGGGTTTGCGCCAGACATAGCGTTTTCCTTGATGGCAAAAAAGCTCAATTTTAGTCTCATGTGGTCAGAGTACCTTCTTCCATATGTTTGGGGAGTCTCCCACATGCCTTTTGGCGAACACCAAACGTGTTTGCTTATTTTTTTCTTTAAGCAATGGCTTTTTTCTGGCCACTCTTCCGTAAAGCCCAGCTCTGTGGAGTGTACGGCTTAAAGTGGTCCTATGGACAGATACCCTCTTTGCCTGGGCCGTGAGTTTTGGTGGGCGGCCCTCTCTTGGCAGGTTTGTTGTGGTGCTATATTCTTTCAATTTTTTAATAATGGATTTAATGGTGCTCCGTGGGACGTTCAAAGTTTCGGATATTTTTTTATAACACAACCCTGATCTGTACTTCTCCACAACTTTGTCCCTGACCTATTTGGAGAGCTCCTTGGTCTTCATGGTGCCGCTTGCTTGGTGGTGCCTTTCAGAACAGGTGTATATATATTGAGATAATGTGATAGATCATGTGACACTTAGATTGCACACAGGTGGACTATTTAACTAATTATGTGACTTCTGAAGGTAATTGGTTGCACCAGATCTTATTTAGGGGCTTCATAGCATATGCATGCACCACTTTTCCGTCATTTATTTTTTAGAATTTATTGAAACAAGTTATTTTTTTAATTTCACTTCACCAATTTGGACTATTTTGTGTATGTCCATTACATGAAATCCAAATAAAAATCAATTTAAATTACAGGTTGTAATACAACAAAATAGGAAAAACGCAAAGGGGATGAATACTTTTGCAAGGCACTGTAGATATTACTCAATGATACCAGAAAAGCGCTATGGTTTCTGCTGTGTGTCCTTGAGTGAAATTTACCGTGTTGATCTTCCGGGGCAAGGGCACTGGTGTCTCTGGAGCACACGCCGGGCTCCCATTGGTGTCCTCGCTGCCCTGGGGAGACGGGCTCTCCGTCTCTGCCTGTTGATTGGCCACCGGTGAGTCGGGGGACTGGGGCTTCGGTGCAGGCTCTCCTGGGGGTGGTCTCGGAATGGGCAGATCTGCTGCCCCTGGTTTCGGATGGCCGTCTTGGGAGAGCTGAGGCTTGGGGGGTAGGTCTTTGAGCTGGGGTTTGGGCGGTAGGTCCCCTAGCTGGGGTTTGGGAGGGAGGTCGGAGAGCTGGGGCTTGGGGGGCAGTTCTCCAGGTTTAGGGGGCAGTTCAGAGGGCTGGGGTTTGGGGGGAAGGACCCCCAGTTGGGACTTGTCGGGTATGATGGCTTTTGTTAGGCATTCAGGTCCTGGAGGGGATTTCTGGAGCACCTCAGGAGGCAGGCCGGGTTTGTCCATAGACGGGTGTATGGTGTCGATCTTACGCAGTGCCACTAAGAGAAGAACCAGGACAAAGGTACTATATTAAACATATGCTGACTCTAATGCTGGGCGGTAAGCCACAAATAAGGTGTTCCCACCTTCAGTTTTAGGCATTGTTAATCACATTTCAATGTACCTTTCTGAGGTAGTTTGGGTAGAACCCTTGGACCAAGTGTAGACTTTGTGTTGCTAGAAGTAGTACTAAAAAACAGATGGTTATATGAAGTTAATGAAACATGACCATCAGATCAGAACTCTCTGGCTATCATACGTAAACAATATTCTGGAAAATATTCTAAATGCCTGCATCAAAAATGGATGTCTATGTACCTTTGCTGCTGTGAAATTCCCTCAAACTTGTTGGATAAAGGTGACATCTTGTTCGCAGGAGGAGGGGTGGAGTCACTTCCTGAAATATCGAGATGGTTGTGAAAGATGGAAATATGCTGCCCCATATCACCCCAAGTCCCCAAATAGTCACCTAAATAAGCACAGCTTGTATGTTTGATTTAATTCTCCTGATTCAATTATTATAATAATTAATTATCATTATTTATGATTCTTATGTAAAAGTATATTGATATACAGTGCATTCAGAAAGTATTCAGACCCCTTCACTCTTTTCACATTTTGTTACGTTACAGCCTTATTCTAAAATTGATTAAATTGTTTTTTTCCCCCTCATCAACCTACACACAATACCTCATAACGACAAAGCAAAAACAGGTTTTTAGAAATTTTAGCAAATATATAAAAATAAAATACTGAAATATGACATTTACATAAGTATTCAGACCCTTTACTCAAAACTTTTATTTTTTTTCTGGGGGGAATGGCAGCGATTACAGCCTCGAGTCTTCTTGCGTATGACGCGACAAGCTTGGCACACCAGTACTTGGGGAGTTTCTACCATTCTTTTCTGCAGATCCTCTCAAGGTTGGATTGAGAGCGTCGCTGCACAGCTTTTTCAGGTCTCTCCAGAGATGTTCGATTTGGGTTCAAGTCTGGGCTCTGGCTGGGCCACCAAGGACATTCAGAGACTTGTCCTGAAGCCACTCCTGCGTTGTGTGCTTAGGGTCGTTGTCCTGTTGGAAGGTGAACCTTCGCCCCAGTCTGAGGTCCTGAGCGCTCTGGAGTAGGTTTTCATCAAGGATCTCTCTGTACTTTGCTCCGTTCATATTTCCCTTGATCCTGGCAAGTCTCCCAGTCTCTGCCGCTGAAATACATCCCCACAGCATGATGCTGCCACCACCATGCTTCACCGTTGGGATGGTGCCAGGTTTCCTGCAGACTTGACGCTTGGCATTCAGGCCAAAGAGTTCAATCTTATTTTCATCAGACCAGAGAATCATGTTTCTCATGGTCAGAGTCCTTTAGGTGCCTTTTGGCAAACTCCAAGCGGGCTCTCATGTGCCTTTTACTGAGGAGTGGCTCCCGTCTGGCCACTCTACCATAAAGGCCTGATTGGTAGAGTGCTGCAGAGATGGTTGTCCTTCTGGAAGGTTCTCCCATCTCCACAGAGGAACTCTGGAGCTCTGTCAGAGTGACCATCGGGTTCTTGGTCACCTCCCTGACCAAGGCCCTTCTCCCCCGATTGCTCAGTTTGGCCGGGCGGCCAGCTCTAGGAAGAGTCTTGGTGGTTCCAGACTTCTTCCATTTAAGAATGATGGAGGCCACTGTGTTCTTGGGGACCTTCAATGCTGCAGAAATGTTTTTGTACCCTTCCCCAGATCTGTGCCTCAACACAATCCTGTCTCGGAGCCCTACAGACAATTCCTTCGACCTCATGGCTTGGTTTTTGCTCTGACATGCACTGTCAACTGTGGGACCTTATATAGACAGGTGTGTGCCTTTCCAAATCATGTCCAATCACTTGAATGTACCACAGGTGGACTCCAATCAAGTTGTAGAAACATCTCAAGGATGATCAATGGAAACAGGTTGCACCTAAGCTCAATTCCGAGTCTCATAGCAAAGGGTCTGAATACTTATGTAAATAAGGTATTTCTGTTTTTTATTTTTAATAAATGTGCAAACATTTCTAAAAACCTGTTTTCGCTTTGCCATTATGGGCTATTCTGTGTAGTTCGATGCAAAAAAATAATATTTTTATCTATTTTAGAATAAGGCTGTAACGTAACAAAATGTGGAAAAGGTGAAGGGGTCTGAATACTTTCCGAATGCACTGTACTATAACTGGTATACAAATACAAATATAGTGCTGTACCCCAACATGCAATTTTTATAGTAGAAGAGAGTAGAAGAGGTAGGGGGCTGAGCTTTCCATTAGATACCATTATGGACTATTTTGAGGTAGCTGTACGCTAGGGATCTGGTATTCCTCAGGTAATAATCTGCATTTTATTCCATACTAATGCTATTTGAGGGCATTGTCTGACAGTATGAGGAGACCGTAATATGCTGTTTGTATTTCAACATACAAAAAAAATGACAGACAAGACAAAAAAATAAATAAATAAATTGATCTGACATCTAACATTAACACATTCCACAGGATTGCCATCACACCACAAAATGACCAGGCTGTGTCTGTGTCATTCATGAACAGCACTGACACACTCTGGTCATGGGGAAAATCTGGTTGGAAACCTCAATTCTAGGCCAGATATGGGTAACTCTGGTCCTGTAGGGCCTCAGTGTGGGTGGGCAATTAGATTGACTGGGCTGGACCAAAGGCCCGCACACACTGCGACTCTCCAGGACCAGAGAGTTAAATGTATTATGGATCATGTCCTTATCTAATAAAGACGACCAAGCAGTATTCAGATGTGTCTGCTTGGTTCTGGCCCACAGAGGGAGGACTCACCCCCGGATATACCCCCTCTACTGTGGGAGAGCGGGCTGGGTGGGTCAGACAGGGTGCGTTTGTGCCCAGGGGGAGGGGGCGGAGGCCTCTTCTTGGACAGGGTGGAGCTGCCTCCAGGGGTGAGGGTGGAGGGAGGAGCTGGAGGGGTGACAACATACAAACGCATGCAGTGAAGGGACAGGCGATGGACAGGTGTCATTCATTCGGTCACCTGGGATACCAACAGGAAGGTGAGGGGCTGGGGATGGTAGTTTGAGAGGGAGGAGACTTGCCATCAGGACAGGGTTCAACAAAATTGTTGGACAACGTGGGGGAGATATGTTAACACAACATCAATACAGGTAAAAAACAACATACCGGTGAACAGAGAAAGGCCCGAATGGGAATACAGAGAAGATGGACAAAGAACAATGTATATGTATGTGTCGTTTTGGGGGTGTTTTTGTATATTTTTGGGTGGGTGTACACCACAAGAGGTGGGTGGCATCTTAATTGTGGAGGAAGGACTCGTGGTAATGGCTGGAGCGGAATCGGTGAAACGGTATCAAATACACCAAACGCATGGTTTCCAAGTGTTTGATGCCATTCCATTTACTCCATTCCAGCCATTATTATGAGCTGTCCACCCCTCTGCAGCATCCTGTTGTATACACACTCCTGAGATTTTCAGACCTACAGTAAGTTACCCCAAAGCAACTAGTTCCATTCCCAGCAGTGTGTGAGCCTGGAAACAGACGCTAGAAGAAAGTGGCTCATAGAGATCTCAGCCAGTCAGAGAGGAGAGCCAGGCTGCATCCCAAATGGCACCCTATATCCTACCTATATAGTGCACTACTTTTAGACCCCATAGGGCTCTGATCAAAAGTAGAGCACTATATAGGGAATATGGTGTCATTACGTCAGCTATGATAACACTATACAGCTCAGGGGAGGCGACAGGTCACAAAACGTGATGAAACTGTGTGTAAGCAAATAATAATTAACCACACTTTTACAGTGCCATTGTTAAAAGTTTAAGACGCCAACACCCATATTTTACTGGGAGGTGAAGTGCTATTAGTGCCACTGGGCAGCAGAAGTACACGGGCCGTGAGCACAACAGGACAAAATGTAATAACTGGATATTCACTGATGTATGGTCGAGTGCCGGCCAGAGTGGCGTAGTGCGAGTGAGAGCTGAGGAATGCCAAATGCGGCGCTGAAAGAGAAAGAAAGGAGAAAAAAAGAGAGAGAGAGATGAAGAGTGTGGGAGAGAATCTATGTCAAGCTCAGAGAGCTTCTCCCACACACTAGTTTGCATTTGAAATGAAACCCTATTCCCTATGTGGACCTTGGTCAAAAATGTGGTCAAAAGTAGTGCACTATATAGGGAATAGGGTGCCTTTTGGGACGTTGGCAATATAAAGCAGCCGATAAAATCTTATCAGTGACAAGCAAAGCAAAAGAGGAGAAATTGCACCAGCAAATGCCTAAGGGGCAAGCAAGCCACTGAAAAAGAGAACTGTGGGTAAAATCTCTTGTGGGTAAAAAGAAGTCGCTGTTTTTCTTCACTCCACTGAAGTGTATTAGCGTCAACAACGTAGTCCACTGTATTGTAACAAGGATATAGTCGTTTGTATTGGCTTCAACGATGTACTGTATTGTAAGGATAGTGATTAGTAAACTGTGGTGTGAGTGTTTGTGTTCTAACTCCTGTCTTCAGGGAGGGATGTTATGGTTCATTATAATTGTCCTGACTGCTGGTTGCCTCCAGGAGTCTGTTTATATACTGTCAGGTAGTGTTGATGATCAGGAAGTGTCCTGGTCTTCGTCCCAAATGGCACCCTATTCCCTATATAGTGCACTGTTTGACCAGGGCTCATAGGGAATCACACAGGGCTCTGGTCAAAAGTAGTGCACTATGTAGGGACTAGGGTGCCATTTGGGACGCAATCCTGGATTCCCATAATGAAGCATTAAAATGATCAGCCTGGTGTATTATCCTATCTGGCTGTGTGCGTCTCCACTTTCCCTTTCACCCCCGCCTCGCCTGCAGCTGTGGAGCCATCATTTCCCGGGAGGTGCCTTGCTTGTGTAAGCAGTCTATATGACAGCCGGTTCCCACCCTGATTGACAAATTACATTCCTCTCAAGGGTGTGTGTGAGTGTGTGTGTGTGTGTGTGTGTGTGTAAGGTTGAAAGAGAGAGAGAGGGAGGAAAAGACTAATAATCTCAGCATCTTGGTTAACTAGTGTTATGATAACAATGTTTTGTAACAGAGCAAAACAGTTAACTGTATTACTGTGTTATTCCTGAGTACCGGTGTTAGAGATAAGAGACAACTTGCAAGTCTCCATACATGTAAATGCTAGCCAACCAGACAATACTGGTGAGTATCCAATGAACATTCCACAACTGGCCACACAACCTTTAGGACATTTGCATTTCAGGTAGAAATGTGCATGAACATCAATGCAAAAAGAGGAGATTGGTCAAACATGATCTTGTTATATCTGTACAGATCTAGGAACAGCTTCCCCTTTCCCCATTCCTAACCATAACCATGATTGGGAAAATGCAAAACTGACCAAAGATCAGCGTCTAGGGGCAACTTCACCCTACACTGATAAAAGAGTCTGGGCCCTGGCCAATCACAATCAGGTCTCACCTTTGCCCTGGTTCCTGGGGGGCAGGGGGGGGGCGTCGGCCACGGGGGAGGAAGAGGAAGTGAGGTCGGTGGAGACTGAGTACATCTGGTTGGTGAAGGCGCTGTAAGACATGCGCTGCTGCTTGTCCCGGTGGCTGATGAAGCCCGGCAGAGACAGCTTGTCATGGGGAGACATGCTGGACGAGTGGCAGAAACTCTGGGGCCGCGGGGAGCGGTCCTTCTTGATGGGACTAGGCTGCAGACAGAGAGGGGGAGAGAGAGACAACAGGTGTCAACTTAGAAAAGTGTCAACTTGGGAACATTGACTTTCACGTAGGCCTAAATCATGCATTGATGTCAACGGGAGATTGGCGCAAATATTTCAACTCTGCGTGTGGATTTCAAGTTGTGTGCTATGTCCAGACGTGTGTGAACGTGAAGTCCCAGTCTGACCTTGTCATCCAGATCGTCATCGCTCTCGTCCATCTCCTCAAGCCTCAGGCTCCACGCATACTCCACGTGGATGTGAGGGTAAAACTTTCCCGCTGCAGCCTGCAACAGCTGGGGGACACACACAATCACACACACACACATTTTGATTACTTTATTTGGATCCACAATGAAACAATAAAATACAGAGGAGGACCTAAATGTTTAAAAGTTCATACAAACAAACACACCGCGATTATACTCCACAAAGCATGTCAGTCGAAAGGGACTATATTTTAACCAACAATCTACCACAATGAATAGATGACATCCAACATTAACAAGATTGTTGTTCTCCGTTATTTTGATGTGCAAAACATATATGAATATGGAGGGGTGCATCACACAGAGCTTTTGGAAGAGCTACGGAAGGAAATTGAACGTGACGAGAGTGAGGATGAATTAACTGTGATGGCAGGTGTGGTGAAGACTGCTGAGCTTGAGCCTCGTCCTGATGATGACAAAGATTAATCTGGCCCAGTGGGAGTGAGATTTTTGGAGAGAATGGGTCCTTGCCTTCTGGCAGATCCATATGTGGTGTCGGGTTGGGTGGAGAAGAGGTTGGGGAATGTTGGGTCGGTGAAAGTGACTCGAAGTGGAATCATGTAGATTTTTTGTGTTTTTGCCGTCCAGAGGGAGTATTTGCTCCGCACCACGACTGGGAACAAGAAATGTGACTTGCTTTCCTCTCTGGAGCAGGCCGCTGTTGAAAGGAGTGATAACTGGAGTGGCGTTAAGTGTTTTGGAGGATCAACTGAAGTTGAAGATTCTCGGTGTCTGTGACACCCGCCGTTTGGTGCGACGTGGGCCCGGTGGAGAGCGTGGTGAAACAGAGAAGACTGTTCCACTCATTCCGCTCCTGTCTGTGCTACTGAGTTTTGATGTAGAGTTTGTACCAGATAAAGTCAAGTTAGGATGTGTCAGTTATCCCATGAGAGCTTTTGTCCCGAATCCATTACAGTGTTTTAGGTGTCAAGCTTATGGTCATGTGGCAACAGTGTGTAGGAGGGAGATTCCTAGATGTGAGAAGTGTGCAGGAGGACATGAGACAAAGGAATGTGTAGTATCGGTGGAAAAAGTTGTGTATGTGTGTAAAATGTAGGGGTACCCATTGTGCTGGAGATCAGATGTGTCCGGTGAGAGAAAGGCAGGTTGAGGTTGCCAGGATCAGAGTAGTGCATAAGATGTTATATGCTGAGGCAGTCAAGAGAGTAGTAGAGGAAGATGGGTCCAGGGTGAGGGATCCTAAGAGGAGTAGGCCGAGGCCATTAGAGAGTGACAGGAATAACATGTGCTTAAGGTTTTTTTTTTGGCATTCATGGCCATGGTTGTCAATTGTACCGCAGGAATGGAACGTAAATCACAGAGGATAGATGTTGTGGTGGTAGCTGCAGAGAAGTACTTGGGTGTGCGAGATTTTACTGCAGAAGAGTTACAAGATGTTTTGAACGATAGGGTCCCATCCTCCTGGGCTGCTGGCATGGAGTAGGATCAGATAGGGCCAAAGTAGTGGAATAGTGGTGAGGTTTTAATGGGTGCAGGAATGGCTGGTAGGGCAATTTTTTCACAAAGTGTAATGAATTCATACTACAGAATAGTAGGCTGATACACAGCCAATACAGTAGGTGGCGGCATGCATCTATAATATTTGTTTGCGGACCAAAGAAGAAGAAGAAGGAGGAGGCGAGGAGAGAGGGCGAGAGGAGTCAAGGAAATGCAATTGAGGTTCTTCCTCTGTAGTCACTACAGCCCTGGGTGGGCCTTTGGCTGCTGCCCTCTAGTGTCCAGACGTGGTGGTCAACAAGTCCCTTCAATCTATACTGTGCTGCTACAGAATCCGATATAGTGTGGATACTACTTCAACAAAGAACAGGATTGCATCTTTGGGTATTGCTATTAAATAATACAAATAGCCAAACATATAGTGGATATGGAGCATATTGGCTCATGTTCACAGTGAGATACTTACTGCCTCCTCACACTGACTATTCTTCAGTCGCCTGGCAACATCCAGTGCCGTCTCACCATTCTGATTGGCTAAAAGAACAGGCATGAAATTGGTTACACATTTGAGTCTGACACATTCCATCAAAAATCAATTTTGATTGAGAACAGGCATGTTAACATAATCAAATGTGTGTGTGTGTGTGTGTGTGTGTGTGTGTGTGAGTGTGAGTGTGAGGGTGAGGGTGAGGGTGAGTGTGTGTGTGTGTGTGTGTGTGTGTGTGTGTGTGTGAATGTGTGTGTATTACTCACTGATGTCAGTGGCTGGTTTGCCCCTCAGCAGTAGTTTGAGGCATTCATGTTTCTCGTACATGCAGCAGTAGTGCAGGGCTGTGTTTCCCCACTCGGTCTGCTTATCCAGGTTCCCACTGTGACACATTCACACAACAAGGTCATGTCACGGGTCACACCCCAGAGGCCCTTTTACAGAGAGGTAAAGGTGTCACATTATCATTCACGCTTTGGTCATACTGCCTTAAGAAACAAACGGACCTAAAAACACCTACATATACTTCACAGCCACACTAGCATGTTGACAGTTAAGTGGTTGGTCACCATTTTGCTTATCCTCAAATGGAAAACAATTCAGCCAATTAGCAAGTGTTGGCATGAAATTGTGAAGGTAGACCTACTAATTAATGAGGATCCTCCATTTCCTGGTAACGGTCTGCCTGAGGGGCAGCGAGGCAGGGAGAAAACCATTGAGAAGACTGAGAGGATTAAATTAAGGCAGGGAACAAGTGGCTGCCTGACCCAGTTCTGTTTCCCTTGTGGGAATCTAAGCTGCTGTGCTGAGCTCTACCCTGCTCATCTTCCTCTTACAGTGGTGGAGAGACTAGGAGAGAACACTGGCTTCCATGAAGCTATTCCATCAATATTCTCACATTTAACACTTCATTTTACATGACGTAATGGTGGAATTACTATTTATTTATAGTATTCTGTTATATTTTTAAGTATTTGGGCACAACAATGATGTTGTGAGTTTTCACTGGTGTTAAAATCCCATTTCACATCAGCACAATGCTACAGGTATGGCATAATATGGTTATTTTCACATTCCCTTATTTGGTAAATGACCTGTTCTGCACGAGGAAGTCCACCAGGTGCAGTGAGGTCTGGTCAGCGGTGCGCACAGAGTAGTGGAGCGCAGTCTCTCCGGCCTCCTGAGGGGGGCAATCACACACAGAAAAGAGATGAGAGAACGGATAGCCGGAGAGCTAAGCTAGAGGAAGAGAGAGAGAGAGAGAGAGAGAGAGAGAGAGAGAGAGACGAGAGAGAGAGGCAGCAGAGGAAGTGAGAGAGAGGAGACGAGGGGAGAGAGAGAGAGTAGCGAAGAGAGAATCCTATGTCTCTCGCGACTCTTCTCTCGTCTCTCTCTTCTCGCTCCTCTCTCTCTCTCTCTCTCTCTCTCTCTCTCTCTCTCTCTCTCTCTCTCTCTCTCTCTCTCTCTCCTCCTCTCTCTCTCTCACAGCATTTAAAGAGGCTGCAGTCAACAAAATGGCTCCTAAAATTAGCTTCTCTTCCCCCCCAAGGCAAGACTGCGAGAGTGATGCCAACATTTCCATGACAGAGAATGGTTTGGATGTACCGATGTCGGTAGCAGACACTGAAATTATGATTCAAGGCTGGCTTCAGTCTACAGCCCGTCCTTCCCAATATGAACAAATGCCACCCCCACCACCTCCCTGGTCGTGGTTGAACTATTCCACGCTCACACTTGCCGAGATAATCAGCAATCAAGTCGTTGAGATTTTTCCTGGTGGATGTATCCTTCAAACAGCATGCATGTCGCTGTGTGTCTCCTTGTACTATTTTCATTGAAAATGACTGGTAGCTATGTCGGTATTTATCTCTCCAAATGTGAGTCCCCAGAAAGGAAACTTATTGGGAAGATATGCATACAGTGACACACTAATACCAATCACTAGGAGTCCAGCTAGGACTCTGTCTGGGACCCTCACTGTCTGGGACTCTGTCTGGGACCCTCACTGTCTGGGACTCTGTCTGGGACCCTCACTGTCTGGGACTCTGTCTGGGACCCTCACTGTCTGGGACTCTGTCTGGGACCCTCACTGTCTGGGACTCTGTCTGGGACCCTCACTGTCTGGGACTCTATCTGGGACCCTCACTGTCTGGGACGCTGTCTGGGACCCTCACTGTCTGGGACTCTGTCTGGGACCCTCACTGTCTGGGACTCTGTCTGGGACCCTCACTGTCTGGGACTCTGTCTGGGACCCTCACTGTCTGGGACTCTGTCTGGGACCCTCACTGTCTGGGACTCTGTCTGGGACCCTCACTGTCTGGGACTCTGTCTGGGACCCTCACTGTCTGGGACTCTGGGTACTGATGTGCTGTCTGCTGAGGACACTCAGCCTGCGTCCCAAATAGAACCCAAATAGAACCCTATTCCCTTGATAGTGCACTAATTTTTACCAGAGCCTTGGCCAGTGCACTATAAAGGGAATAGGGTGCCATTTGGGACACAGACTCAGATTAGGTTCACTGACAGACAGGAATGTATTACAGTGAGGGAAAAAAGTATTTGATCCCCTGCTGATTTTGTACGTTTGCCCACTGACAAAGACATGATCAGTCTATAATTTTAATGGTAGGTTTATTTGAACAGTGAGAGACAGATTAACAACAAAAAAATCCAGAAAAACGCATGTCAAAAATGTTATAAATTGATTTGCATTTTAATGAGGGAAATAAGTATTTGACCCCCTCTCAATCAGAAAGATTTCTGGCTCCCAGGTGTCTTTTATACAGGTAACGAGCTGAGATTAGGAGCACACTCTTAAAGGGAGTGCTCCTAATCTCAGCTTGTTACCTGTATAAAAGACACATGTCCACAGAAGCAATCAATCAATCAGATTCCGAACTCTCCACCATGGCCAAGACCAAAGAGCTCTCCAAGGATGTCAGGGACAAGATTGTAGACCTACACAAGGCTGGAATGGGCTACAATACCATTGCCAAGCAGCTTGGTGAGAAGGTGACAACAGTTGGTTGCGATTATTCGCAAATGGAAGAAACACAAAAGACCTGTCAATCTCCCTCGGCCTGGGGCTGCATGCAAGATCTCACCTCGTGGAGTTGCAACTATCATGAGAACGGTGAGGAATCAGCCCAGAACTACACGGGAGGATCTTGTCAATGATCTCAAGGCAGCTGGGACCATAGTCACCAAGAAAACAATTGGTAACACACTACGCCGTGAAGGACTGAAATCCTGCAGCGCCCGCAAGGTCCCCCTGCTCAAGAAAGCACATATACAGGCCCGTCTGAAGTTTGCCAATGAACATCTGAATGATTCAGAGGAGAACTGGGTGAAAGTGTTGTGGTCAGATGAGACCAAAATCGAGCTCTTTGGCATCAACTCAACTCGCCGTGTTTGGAGGAGGAGGAATGCTGCCTATGACCCCAAGAACACCATCCCCACCGTCAAACATGGAGGTGGAAACATTATGCTTTGGGGGGTTTTTTCTGCTAAGGGGACAGGACAACTTCACCGCATCAAAGGGACGATGGGCGGGGCCATGTACCGTCAAATCTTGGGTGAGAACCTCCTTCCCTCAGCCAGGGCATTGAAAATGGGTCGTGAATGGGTATTCCAGCATGACAATGACCCAAAACACACGGCCAAGGCAACAAAGGAGTGGCACAAGAAGAAGCACATTAAGGTCCTGGAGTGGCCTAGCCAGTCTCCAGACCTTAATCCCATAGAAAATCTGTGGAGGGAGCTGAAGGTTCGAGTTACCAAACGTCAGGCTCGAAACCTTAATGACTTGGAGAAGATCTGCAAAGAGGAGTGAGACAAAATCCCTCCTGAGATGTGTGCAAACCTGGTGGCCAACTACAAGAAACGTCTGACCTCTGTGATAGTCAACAAGGGTTTTGTCACCAAGTACTAAGTCATGTTTTGCAGAGGGGTCAAATACTTATTTCCCTCATTAAAATGCAAATAAATTTATAACATTTTTTACATGCGTTTTTCTGGATTTTTTTTGTTGTTATTCTGTCTCTCACTGTTCAAATAAACCTACCATTGAAATTATAGACTGATCATGTCTTTGTCAGTGGGCAAACATACAAAATCAGCAGGGGATCAAATCATTTTTCCCCTCACTGTAGATATCAGTGAGTCAGCCTGGACTGGGAGCTCTGCCTGCCTTCAAACAGAGTCAGTGACCCATCCCTGGCCACTATTCCCTATGGACTACTTCTGAGAGCACACCGCAGCGCAACGTGGCTCAACATACAGAGGGCCGCAGTACTGATAGCTCAACTGAGTGACTTTACTCATTTGAGCAATGTTGTCTTGTCCAATGTTGCTTAGTAAAGGGAGTAGAAAACGCAATTGTTGTCTGTGGACTGCTCATTACTTTGCCCATGTACAGTACAGCCTCCCTACAGACTCAGTACAACCTACTATTTCCCTATGAAACAGTAGACTTCTGCTCATATTGTAAAACCATACCCACCATACCAGATCAGGGCCTGCATTCATAAAACATCTCAGAGTAGGAGTGCTGATTTAGGAACAGTTTTATTTTTGGGGATCATAATGAATAAGATTACATGGACAGGGGGGACCTGATCCTAGATCAGCAATCCCATGAGATGGTTTATGAATATGGGCCCTGATCAGGTGAGATTAGATAATAATACAGTCCAGGGTCTATGAGGTCAGACCTACCTGTCCACCCTCGGGCAGAGGCTCCATTAGCTCCACCCCCTCAGCGTACACCTGGATGAGAGACAGCAGGTCCCTGGACTTGACCGCCTCACACAGCTCAATGGTCTTAGCTGCCGAGGAGGCACAGGTCTTCCGTGCAAACTTGTGGTCCACATACTTAGCATTGATGAACTCCTTCCTCACTGTCCTGTAGGAGGGGGAGAAGAAGAAGAAGAAGAAGAAGAAGAAGAAGAAGAAGAAGAAGAAGAAGAAGAAGAAGAAGAAGAAGAAGAAGAAGAAGAAGAAGAAGAAGAAGAAGAAGAGGGTTTTGGAATGTTTGTACGGATAGTTTTTGCCATAGAGATCCTATAATCCAGTATCTAGCATGAATGTTTTCCTGACCAATGTGGCCATGTCCATGTATTATATTTAATTCTGTGGCTTATCCTGCCAAACACATCTACCTGCATAAGCTCAAACATACACCAGATTATGCATCTAGTGAGGTCAAATTTCTATGGAGTTTCTTGTCTCTAAGCAGTTCATGTAGATGTTGTTGTTGATGATGATGCTGGGTACTTACATATCACTAGAAGGAGTGGGCTTTGGTGAGGGACAAGGAAGGTTCCCCTCCATTATTTCATTGAAACTACTGTTCCCTACATTCTTGGCCAGCTGTGAAGGAAGAGAGACATTTGCCTAAGTATCAAGTCAACATATGAATGTTAAGACGCTCGTAAGCACTTTGGTTTAATTGTCGTAATCATAATCACATCGTAATCAAGATTGATTCATTTCTATCCTGTTTTTGAATCTATTTTGTATGTTGATTTATTGTGACAAAAAATAAATACATATAATGTTCACCAAAATGTATTTGATTTACTCACCAAGAGTTCAGAGGTGCCTAGCTTATCTAGCTCCATGGATTGGATGCGTGAGATGTGCACTCCCATCTCCCGGTGGATACCAGAGCACTCAATGCAGGTCAGGATGCCTAGGTTAGTGGACAGCCATTTTGGATCTAAGGGCACAGACAACATGACAACATACGTTTGTTGCACACAGACCTGTGGATACAAAAGAAACCCCAAAATCGGGCTTGAATTCACAGTTTAGTGTACAGACGTTTTGGCTCCAAAAACAGAATATAATTTTTTTTTTGTACTACTATAAACATCCATACATTTGAAATCCAGAACGATAATGCTAAAGGGGATTAACTATTACCAGTACTAAACTGACATGTTATTTATGGGTGGTATTCATTAGGCTTCAAATTAAAGAAAACATGGAATGACAACTTGAACTTGTCCAAAAAGAAATAAATGTTTTAGTTTTCTGTTGTAAAACGTTTTGCTACAGTGTGCACTAAAGTCCACCATCACCATCAATGTGAGCAGTGGCAACACACAGCACACACCACTAGAGGGCCTCGGCAACCTCAGGAGCACCAGCCATACTGACTGGGCTACCAGAGCCCGGCAACTAGAAAACACTGCAACATTCTGCGTCAAGCTGAATGCCTGAACATGCTCTGACAGCAGAGCCATGTGGTGGAAGGCTAGAGAGGCTTTGAGCTCTTCCCTGTAAACCCCTACAGTGACTGACACCACTGCCAAGCCTGAGCGATGCAACTGAAGGTGGCTTAAACACAGCCTGATATCAAGCCTGAGAGCCCTACGCAGCTACGCAGATGTAAACAAACTATCTTTACAGACGGCTGAGTGCTGTTAGCTTTTAGGCTTGCTAGCGTGTCTGAATTTGACAGGTCTGTGCCGGGCGGACGGGTGGAAGGGTTTCAGTGGCGACGAAACACCAATGAATCACATGTTTGATGGCAATAGAGGCAATAGATGGCCATAGAGATGAGAGGATGAACAGGGTGGGGTGAGCGCAAAATAGTTGCCACTAATACTCCTCTAGAGAGCTGTGTTTTAGACAGGATGGGTCAAAGGAGCACCACAAATGAGCCTGCAGTACACTAGCTGGAAGACTTGTTTTAGGGCCCTGCCATAGCCAGGGATCACTCTACACAGTATGGCAGTGTCACATAGCTACAAAGGAGCAGCTTGGTCGACTGGGAGGATGAGAGCAGCTTAACAAGGCATCAGAATGAAGTAGAAAGCATCAGAGAGCAGTTCAAATCTGGCTCCCCATCTCCCCCTGTGATGCTGTAGCTTTGGAACACAGCCTGTGTCTGTTAGCATGCTTAAAATAACGTGTGTGGCTTATGATGACCAGACCGGCGCATTATCGATCTGTTAAATGTTACATGAACTCACTCCAGAGAAGGGGGGGGGGGGGGGGGGGGGGGGGGTGAATCATGTAACACATTGATGTAATGATGTTGTTGTTGCAAGAAACACAGGCTTTTATGCTTGCGGCTTGCTAACTCCCTCAGTGGGCTCTGTGTTTATGCTGACAGAGGTGGATAGGGTGATTAACTGAGGCAGTGTGTGTGTGTGCATGTGTGTGTATTGGGGGAGTCAAAAGGCCAGGGTGTCTCTGCTCTGGGGAGTCTCTGCTTTTACAGCAGGGGAGGATCAAGTTGGAGGAACAGGGGCCAGAAAGGGCCAACACCACTGTTATATCCAGAATACACTGCTTTGCTGCTTGCTTGGTTAAAGACATCAAACTGGCTGCATAGCATATCTCAGGTGTCAATTACTGAGCAAAGGTGTTGTTGTCTTCTCCTGTGATAAGGTGAATGGTGAGTACGCACAAAATAGTAGTATATAGAGGAGGATATAGAATGCGAGACCCTTAGAAATCCATAGAGGTTGTGGTCAGGCATGCAAACACACACACATAAACATTGTACAGTATATGTACCTGCAGCGTCACAGTCACAGCAGACTTCGTTGCCAGGGATGCGCAGCACGTCCTCTATGATGGCTTTGGTCAGGTCCTCGAGGCCGTCCTCTCCTCCTCCTCCTCCTCCTCCTCCTCCGTCCTCTCCTCCACGGAACGCCATGTTCAGAGCCTCCTCCTTACTGTTGGATAGCACCGAGATCCAGCTACACACGCACAACACACATACAGACAGAGACAGATACGCAAACAGAGAAACTAGATATTACAGAGCAAGGGTGTTTTAAAAATGTATGAGAATTGTATATAGAAGTGTGTATTTTTAGGATTTCTGTGTGCATAAGCCTCTTAGTCTTTTAGACAAGGGGATGGGACAACTCCAATTCCATCTGACAGTATATTCTAAACTGTATGTATTAATATGTATACTGTATTCTCTTGAGCCCTTGACGTCTACACTGAGTGTACTAAAGATTAAGAACACCTCTCTAATATTTAGTTGCACCCCCTTTTGCCCTCATAACAGCCTCAATTCGTCGGGGCATGGACTCTGCAAGGTGTTGAAAGCGTTCCACAGGGATGCTGGCCCATGTTGACTCTAATGCTTCCCACAGTTGTGTGGGTTGGCTGGATGTCCTTTGGGTGGTGGACCATTCTTGATTCACAAGGGAAACTGTTGAGCGTGAACAACCAGCAGCATTGCAGTTCTTGGCACACTCAAACCGGTGCGCCTGGCACCTACTACCATAACCCGCTCAAAGACACTTAAATCTTTTGTCTTGCCCAGACATTCACAATCCATGTGTCAATTGTCTCAAGGCTTAAAAATCCTTCTTTAACCGGTCTCCTCCCCTTCATCTACACTGATTGAAGTGGATTTAACAGGTGACATCAATAAGGGATCATAGCTTACACCTGGATTCACCTGGTCAGTCTATGTCATGGAAAGAGTGTTCTTAATGTTTTGTACACTCAGTGCATTTTGCATTCACCCTAGATAGGATCTAAATGTGCCTACAGTGTCAACCACCACATGCTGTAGTGTTCAAACCAACACATCTGAACACCCTCCACACACTCACGCTTGCACGAGCACGCACGCACGCACACACACACACACACACTCCACTCTAGATAACCCAGGAAGTCCTTCAACAGCACAGACTCCTCACAGCCTTCTGACTGAGTGCGCTCATTAAGAGACAGCCAGGAAGTAACTGCTGCTGTTGCCAACCCACCCGCTGTTCAGAACAGTACAGTACAGCACAGCTCACTCCTACTTGAATGTAATGTGATTTGTGAATTCAAATAAAGTATTTAAAATGTGTACGTGTGTGTGTGTATGTGTGTGTGTGTGTGTGTGTGTGTGTGTGTGTGTGTCGGCTAGGAGACAATCAGTGTGTTAATTAAAGTATGTGTGTGTGTGTGTGTGTGTGCAAGCGTGCAGGAAATAACAAGAAATTAGTATGCAGATACGTGGGTGTATGCGTGTCTTTAAGGGTGAGCTTGTTTACTTGCAAGGCGTGGGTGGGCGAACATGTGATTACATAATGCAGGGACGTTATATTTTCAAGTAATAAATGGGCCCTGGTGAAAAGTAGTGCACTACATAGGGAATAGGGTGCCATTTGGGATGTATCCTAAGGCGAGACTAAGAGGCAAGGCCTATTGTGTCGCAGTAAAGTTAATGTGAGCGTGGTTAAAGGCAGTGTTTCATAAAGGTCATGGCCCTGACAGTTTAGGAATACAGAGAATTTTGAGGAGATGACAATTACTGATCGGTGGGTATGAAGTAGCAGAATGTGGTTGAAACTGTGTGTGTGTGTGTGTGTGTGAGAAAGAAATTGTGTGTGTGCACCTGAACAAGTGACAACCACAGATCCAGATAGATAGAAACCTTTACTGATGCTGGCACCTAGCTCTCTCTCTCTCTCTGAGTAATACAAATACCCTCACTGTCAATGGAGTATAAAAGAGGGTGTCTTTCTTTGTTCAACTGATCATTCAAGCTCACAGCTACATTATCAGGGCCAGGTTCATTGCTTCAGTGTATTACTTTGTACCTGCCTTTGGAGTTGGATACTACAGTAAAACAATGTTTATAATGTGGTGACTGTGATGATACACTTACATGACAAACTCCTGTTCATCCTCAGCCTGGAAGTGATATGTCCGGTTATCTGTGGGCAGAGAGAAGATTAGAGGGGAATGTGATCTCAGACCCAGCAGACACTGTGTAATCATGTCATGTAATATAGCCCTGTTGTGAGATGCATGTTGGGTAATTCACAAGCACAGCGTGTTTCAGGTTTTCCTCTCAATGTCATGACACCATTCAACAGCCAGTCTGAAAATATAGTAGGTGTCAAAGAGCGACTGGCACCCTGTGGCACAAAATGGTCACTTCGACTCTTCCTGTTTCTGAATGCCCATCAGAGGTCATATAAAAGGCCCCTTCTCTCACGGGCCACCCATCCCATGCAACACCCACAGTAACTGCTGTATTGGCATAGGGGTTATGGTAAGAGGGGTACTTACGGGAAATTAGATCGAAGCACTTCCTGTCCTCAGCGCAGGGCTTGACCTGGCAGGTGAGCAGGTTGAGTTTCACAGGCTGCCTGTTGGACTGCACAAACACACAGACGACTTAGCTACTTGATGGAAATTATGAAAATTAGTCTGTACATCAACCAGTATTGGTCCTATTAAACTAACGCTACAAGCCTACCTGACTCTGGATGGGGTGGGGTGGTAAAGTAATAGAACAATTACTCTTTTGATGTTAGGCATTGTGGGTTTGTCCTTTTGTCTCAGCTGAATAAAGAAACTATAAACAGTGCCTTCGGAAAGTACTTTTTCCATATTTGGTTACGTTACACCCTTATTCTAAAATGGATTAAAAAAACAAATAATCGTGGTCAAAAGTTTTGAGAATGACACAAGTATTGGTCTTCACAAAGTACGCTGCTTCAGTGTTATGAGATATTTTTGTCAGATGTTACTATGGTATACTGAAGTATAATTACAAGCATTCCATAAGTGTCAAAGGCTTTTATTGACAATTACATTAAGTTTATGCAAAGAGTCAATATTTGCAGTGTTGACCCTTCTTTCTCAAGACCTCTGCAATCCGCCATGGCATGCTGTCAATTAACTTCTGGGCCACATCCTGACTGATGGCAACCCATTCTTGCATAATCAATGGGGTTTTTGTTTGTCCACCCGCCTCTTGAGGATCGACCACAAGTTTTCAATGGGATTAAGGTCTGGGGAGTTTCCTGGCCATGGACCCAAAATGTCGATGTTTTGCTCCCCGAGCCACTTAGTTATCACTTTTGCCTTATGGCAAGGTGCTCCATCATGCTGGCATTGGTTGTCACCAAACTGTTCTTGGATGGTTGGGAGAAGTTGCCCTCGGAGGATGTGTTGGTACTATCCTTTATTCATGGCTGTGTTCTTAGGCAAAATTGTGAGTGAGCCCACTCCCTTGGCTGAGAAGCAGCCCCACACACGAATGGTCTCAGGATGCTTTACTGTTGGCATGACACAGGACTGATGGTAGCGCTCACCTTTTCTTCTCCGGAAAAGGTTTTTTCCGGATGCCCCAAACAACCGGAAAGGGGATTCATCAGAGAAAATGACTTTACCCCAGTCCTCAGCAGTCCAATCCCTGTACCTTTTGCAGAATATCAGTCTGTCCCTGATGTTTTTCCTGGAGAGAAATGGCTTCTTTGCTGCCCTTCTTGAGACCAGGCCATCCTCCAAAAGTCTTTGCCTCACTGTGCGTAGAGATGCACCCACACCTGCCTGCTGCCATTCCTGAACAAGCTCTGCGCTGGTGGTGCCCCGATCCCGCAGCTGAATCAAATTTAGAGACGGTCCTGGCGCTTGCTGGACTTTCTTGGCGCCCTGACTCCTTCTTCACAACAATTGAACCTCTCTCCTTGAAGTTCTTGATGATCCGATAAATGGTTGATTTAGGTGCAATCTTACTAGCAGCAATATCCTTGCCTGTGAAGCCCTTTTTGTGCAAAGCAATGATGACGGCACGTGTTTCCTTGCAGGTAACTATGGTTAACAGAGGAAGAACAATGATTTCAAGCACCACCCTCCTTTTAAAGGTTCCAGTCTGTTATTCTAAATCAATCAGCATGACAGAGTGATCTCCAGCCTTGTCCTCGTCAACACTCTCACCTGTGTTAACGAGAGAATCACAGACATGATGTCAGCTGGTCCTTTTGTGGCAGGGCTGAAATGCAGTGGAAATCTTTTTTTGGGATGAAGTTCATTTTCATGGCAAAGAGGGACTTTGCAATTAATTACAATTCATCTGATCACTCTTCATGACATTCTGGAGTATATGCAAATTGCCATCATCAAAACTGAGGCAGCAGACTTTGTGAAAATTAGTATTTGTGTCATTCTCAAAACTTTTGACTATGACTGTACACACAATACCCCATAATGACAAAGCGAAAAAAGACATACAAAAATAAAATAATAAATAAAAATATCCTATTAGATGGTACATATAGTATAACGACAGCATATAGTAATCACAAACAGCGTAGTTAAGCCAAAAAGAAATATTGAGTGGTGTACAGCACAGTGTAGCAGCAGAGCATCAACCCAGTTATAAAGCGGGACTAGACCCTTCATCCAGTATTGGCTGCCATATTTTGTAAAACATTGGACTTCTATTGGAGGTATTGTATCGAATCTTCCATTACATTCCCTCAATCCCGTAACCACATTTCAAAGGTAGGTACAGTCTCCAATTTCCAAAATTGCAATATGAGCCTTTTGGCTCATAGAGTACAAAGAGAGATAGCCTTCCCTTCCTGGTTATTCCCATCAACTGTAGCAAACAGAGCGACCAATGGGTAGGGGGCTATAACTCTATCAAAGGCTTTAGATAAGTAATCAAAAATGAGAGCCCAGTAAGCATGTAACTTAGGACATGTCCAAAATAAGTGGGTCAAAGTCCCCTCATCCTGCTTGCACCTCTCACACAGTGGTGAGGTGTCTGGGAATATTTTATGCAGTTTCAGTTTTGAGTAATGTAACCTGTGTACCACCTTAAACTGAGCAAGGTTGTGTCTGGCATTCAGTGAACTGTGGTTTATATTCCTGAGAGCCAGTCCTCATCTGAGATTTCTGAACCAAGTTTCTGCTCCCAAGCCCTTTTAATAGTGTCTGTGGATACCTCTATGTTGGCCCGTAGCACATCATAAAGTCTAGAGACTGACCCTTTTGAATGGGGTTTGACAAGGATAAGGCTATCTAATGTAGGATTCTTTGGCTTAATGCCACACTGTGGGATATGTGTCCTTAAGAAATTCCAGATTAAGAGGTATCTGAAAAAATGTGCTGCTGGCATGGTAAACTTACTCTGTAATTGTTGAAATGAAGCTAAATGACCATCAATGTATAAGTTATCAATTGTTGTGAGCCCCTTCCCCCTCCACTGTGAAAACACCATATCATCCAATGCAGGGTGGAAAGCATGATTCAGGCAAATTGGGCTGTCAATGTATACAGTGGTTATGTTAACAAAAATACCTCATCTGTTTCCAGATCCTAAGACTGTGACAAATGAGTCATAAGTGGCTTTGTTCACATATGCTGGGCTATTAACAAGTGCAGGGAGTGAGGAACATTTACAGGAAGCCTGCTCCATCAAAAGCCATGAAGGCATATCATTCTGTCGGATCCCAGGTAAACTTTCCCTCCAGAAAGACACAATGTTCAGATTAGCAGCCCAATAATACAGTTTAAAGTGAGGAAGGGTAAAACCCCCCTCTCTCTTGTACTTCCATAAATGCTTCTTTGAAATTCTGGCTACCTTGTTATCCCATAAGAATGGAATTACTATTGAATCCAGTTTCTTAAAATAGCTTTCTGGTAAGAAATTGGGTAGACATTGGAAGAGGTAAAGAAACCTGGGTAAGGCAACCATTTTAATAGCGTTTATATGACCAACCACGGAGATAGGCAGAGTTTTCAAAAAATTTATATTTTGTTTAAGCTGATACATTTTCATGTCCCAATTCGTTTTCAATAGCTGATCAAGTTTTCTTGTCACTACAATGCCAAGGCTTGTGAACTTGACCATCACTGTTCTAAATTGGGTAGATTGCAGAAATTGCATATCCACAGGCCGTGATATCGGCATCAATTCACTTTCCGTTGGTTCCTCACCTCCAAAGTAAGATCTGGGTAGAAAGACACCCAGGCTCCGTTGTAGTTAAGGGGGAACTTTTGACTTGCCAGCTTGAGGATGAGATCCCTGGTCTGGGGATAGTGCAGCCGTGCGATGAATGGCCTTGGTGGCGCGCCCTTGTCTGGCTTTGTTGCCTGTGATCTGTGTGCGCAGTCGATCAGGATGGGCGTTTTGAAGTGTTCACTCCCCAGCAATGGCGGTATCAGCCCCGAAACAAATTCAGTGGGTTTCCCTTTCTCAGTGTCCTCCTGGATCCCAAATATTCGGATGTTCGGGAGTCTTGAATGCGACTCGAGCATTTCCAGTCTGGCTTTCAGGGTTTTGTTGTAATTTTTTAACGTTGTGCTCTGTTTCTCTATGTCCTGTAGCCTGGCCTCATGATCAACTGTCGTCTGCTCGACTTCATGCACCCTGCCCTTGGTTGCCTTCACAGTTTCAGTCAAAGTCCCAATACTCTTTGAGATATCAGCCAACCTTGTGTCCACCTTCTTGCTTAGTGACTTTATAGCAGTCAGTAGGTTACTTGGAGTAGGTTCTGTGGGGAGCTCTTGGGAGCTAGCATCCTCAGCTAACTCCTCGTGGGTCAGCGGTTCGTTGTCTGTCTCATCCAAATGATCTTGTTTAGCTCCCCCTTTTTTGGTGCCTTTTCCCTTTGTCATATTGCCAGACAATGTTTGAAGTTATAGGTGGTGAGAGATTAAGATAAATATGAATTTGTTTCAAAATTGAGCGGCGCGCTAACAAAACACGTCTATTCCATAGCACGCTCTCTAGCTCCCCCCTACAAAGAGATCCTTGATGAAAACCTGCTCCAGAGCGCTCAGGACCTCAGACTGGGGGGAAGTTCACCTTCCAACAGGACAATGACCCTAAGCACACAGCCAAGACAACGCAGGAGTTGCTTCGGGACAAGTCTCTGAATATCTTTGAGTGGCCAAGCCAAAGCCCGGACTTGAACCCGATCTAACATCTCTGGAGAAACCTGAAAATAGCTGTGCAGCGACGCTCCCCATCCAACCTGACAGAGCTTGAGAGGATCTGCAGAGAAGAATGGGAGAAACTCCCCAAATACAGGTGTGCCAAGCTTTTAGCGTCATACCCAAGAATGTAATCGCTGCCAAAGGTGCTTTAACAAAGTACTGAGTAAAAGGTCTGAATACTTATGTAAATGTGCAATGCCCAATGGTCAAAAAGTAGTGAAGTCATGTAGATTTTTTTACATTTTTGTCATTTAGCAGACGCTCTTATCCAGAGCGACTTACATGAGCAATTAGGGTTAAGTGCCTTGCTCAAGGGCACATCGACAGATGTTTCACCTAGTCGGCTCTGGGATTAGAACCAGCAACTTTTCGGTTACTGGCACAACGCTCTTAACCACTAAGCTACCTGCCGCCCTATGTAGAGAATAGGATGCCATTTGGGCCACAGCCTGAACACTAGACACAACAGTGTAGCTAGCCTTGGGAGGATCCCAGGTATTCCCTCAGTACTGGCTGTGGTCCAGGCAGCACCACTTTGGGTTGGCTACAGTACAGTACCCACTGTCATAATATGTTAATACCACTGTGCCCAGCAGGCACTGCATTGTGACTGTGCCGGGGCAGGCGGGCATCGGGCGGGCAGAGGGGGGGTGAGGGGTGTTAACAAAACGTTAACAGGCTGTGATGAGCCCCACCAGACATGCCACCGGGGGTCTATTCACAGTTCCCAAATCCAGAACAAATTCAAGAAAACGTACAGTATTATATAGCAGGTAGCTTAGTGGTTAAGAGCGTTGTGCCAGTAACCGAAAGATCGCTGGTTCTAATCCCCGAGCTGACTAGGTGAAAAATCTGTCGATGTGCCCTTGAGCAAGGCACTTAACCCTAATTGCTCCTGTAAGTCGCTCTGGTTAAGAGCGTCTGCTAAATGACCAAAAAAAAACAATAAATAAAATAAATATAGAGCCATGATTGCATGGAACTCCCTTCCATCAAAGATTGAACAGCAAACCTGGTTTTAAAAAACAAATAAAGCAACACTTCACCGCACAACCCCTCTCTCCTATTTGACCTAGATATTGTGTGTATGTATTGATATGTTGGCTATGTGTGACATTTTTCATTTATGTAGTTCTGTCGTTGAGTTGTTCTTGTCTTTTAATGTTCTGTATTACAGTATGTCATGTTTCATGTTTTGTGTGGACCACAGGAAGAGTAGCTGCTGCTATCACAACAGCTAATGGGGGTCTTAATAAAATACCAAATGCCAAATACCAAATGAGCCCTGAGGTGAGGCTGTCTGGCTGGCACCACGCCACGCAGGCAGGGTCACCCAGAGTTCAGCTGCCTGGCCTGCCACAGGGGCTGATGGGAAATAAACACGGAGCGGAGCTGCAACATGCCATCAGACAAAGAACTGAAGATAAGTACATGGATTCTCTGTGCGTTTTTTAAAAATGGAGGTGCAGACAGGTAGGCTTGTACTTAGGCTACATTGTATAATTTCCTTGAAAGGAGGGTGTCTATATATCCAGTAAATGAGATGATAGTGTTATGACATTTGGGGGATCCACCGCAATCTAGAGTGGAATACAACATTTGTGACATGCTAGTTGTGTCTGTGTGCACTCTCTCTCATATGTGCATGTGTGTCTCTATCTATCTCTCTCAACATTGGCTATTGTATTAGCTCCCAGCAGCAGATAGTGAATATCTGGTCCAGTGCTGCTATACTCCACAGTATCCACAGACCCAGGGAAGAGAAGAGCCAGCAGCAAACTCAGAGATGAGTCACCACAGCAATGGGAGGGGGGGGGGGGGGGGATGAGGGGTTTCCCTGGCAACCCATCCATGTCGATTCCTCTCTGCCAACTGCCAGCTTGATAGTGCCCTACACAGCTTCCTTCATACTGGATGTTGTCTTTGATCTAGCCTCCACAGGTGTGTGGGTGTTTGTGTCTGAGTGTGAGTGTGTGGTATGTTTGCCACTCACCGTAGCATGAGAGATGGTGAGCATGCCACCCTTCACTGAACACTTCCTCCTCTGCCACACCTTCCTCAGCCTGCAGGAAGACAACAACACCAAGTCACAACGAAGGATCAGATAAGGGGCATATAAATGCATGTTCAGTACTGTTTAGTGTGCGTGTGTGTTTGTATGTGTGTGTGACCTACCCATCACTCTTCTTCATCAGGTAGCCTTTCTTCTCACAGCCAAACTCCTTGTTGCCCTGCAGCTGGTGCATGCTGTAGCCCCCCTGCTTACTCTGGGAGTCCTGCATCAACACACACACACACACACACACACACACACACACAGTGTTTATACACAGAAACACAGCAAATTACCACACACAACCAACCAAATATACCTCTTACAGAGAGTGCAGGCCAGGGTCTTTATTATTTATCGGGTCATGTTTGATGTTCAAAGGACTATGGGATCCGTCCCAAATGGTACCCTATTCTCTATTTAGTTCACTACTTTTCACCGGGGCTCTGGTCAAAGGAAGTGCACTACATAGAGAATAGGGTGCCATTTGGGACGCACCCATGTTCTAAACACACGATCAAATGAAAAACACAGCAGGCTTCTAATGTAGAAACTCAGTGGAGTGCCTGCTCTTCAAAATCTCTCAGAAGTCAAACGCAGGCAAGACCAACAGAAGCATGCCAATCGTGCACACTTACTCTTCTAGACTTGAGTCCAGACAAGCAGCGAGTAGAGAGGGAGATAGAGGGAGAGAGTGTGAAAGAAGTAGCTGAGATGTAGGCGTGAGAGAGTGCCTGCATGCATGCATAGAGTGTAGGTGTTAGTTTGGCACAGTATATACAAGTAGAGGGGTAGTGAGTGAGTGACTGTTGGCTCATTCATCCTCCTTCCTCTCCCCTGTAACTGTTTCCCAGGTTGTTGCTGTAAATGTGAACGTGTTCTCAGTCAACTTACCCAGTTCCCTATATAGTGCACTACTGACTAAGGCCCATACACTCTTAGAAGAAAAGGGGCTATCTAGAACCTAAAAGGGTGCTTCGGCTGTCTCCATTGCAAAACCCTTTGAAGAACCCAGGTAGAACCCTTTTGGGTTGCATGTAGAACCCTTTCCACAGAGGGTTCTATGTGGAACCCAAAAAGGTTCTAACTGGAACCAAAAAGGGTTCTACCTGGAACAAAAAAGGGTTATCCTATGGGGACAGCTGAAGAACACTTTTGGAACCCTTTTTTCTAAGAGTGTAGGGCTCTGGTCAAAAATAGTGCACTATGTAGTGAATAAGGTACCATTTTGGACACAGTCACTAGCAGAGAGTTGCAGCTGTGTCGACACAGCAGCCCAGTCTATCTCAGTTAGGCTCTGCACACTATTACACAGTATCTCATGCAAAACACAGTGAGCAGCTAGCAAATCTCAATGTGGGTATGAGACTGAGGGGAAAACCACATTACTGTTGTTGTGTATAAGGCAGTTGTGACCAGTGAGTGCTCAGAAAGAGATTAGGGGAGGTTAGTTAAGACAGTGACTGGCTCTCCACCAAGCAGCCAGTGAGGCACCACACCGGTTACCAGCCAAGGCCTACCACACACTAGCTACCAGCATGGTACAGCACTGGATGCTCACTCTGCGCTACAGGAGGCTAGCCAGTAGGTACACCCACCATAGGGTCAAAAGTTAAGGGTTAGGGTTGAAGAGTGTACAGTATGGCTGCAGTCTGATTCTCTACCAAGCATTGATTTGGTGAACGCATGGCTGGAGGGAGTTTCCATTATATTCTTAACACCAGTCCATTCCATCTAAATCCATGAGGGGTAGTGTATGAGTGCACAGGAGAAGGGTAGAGAATTGGAATCCAACTTATATGTTTGCCAACTAAAGCCTGCTTGGGCCCACTTGGCCCTGTTTTGCCCTATTTGGCCCTGTTTGGCCCACTAGGCCCTGTTTAGCCCTATTTGGGCCTATTTGGTCTGGTTCCTACCTACCTCCTTCTGGTCCAGCTGAAGGGAGGACTTGATCAGGTCTCTGAGAGCAGTCAGATGTTTCTTCTCCTCATCCTGGGTCTGCTTTATCTGAGAAGGAGATACACAGAGTGAGATTAACACACACACACACACACACACACACACACACACTCAATGACCTCGATAACAATTCAGTCTGCAGAGTAGCAGTAATCAGATAGAGAGAAGCCTGTGGGTGGGTGTTTACATTGTAGAGGTCAGCAGCCAGCTTCTCAATGTACTGCTTCAGCTTATCTGCTGTCTTCAAGCCATCTTGGAAGAAACTGCAAGAGAATACAGGGCGGATATTATAATTCCATTGACATTTTCACTTTAGTGAGACAAAGGGTAGTCATTTGGTGGGGCGTAGCATCATTTACATCATTGAGAAATGTCAAGTGTCATACAATGTTTCTATAGGCATTAGGAAGGTCATAAGAAGTGGAGGGGTGAATGAGAATGAGACTGATGCAGTGGGATATGTATAATGTATAGCACTGCTTGGCCCTCTGGCTTTTGGCAAAGAGATCTCTCTCTCTCTTTCTCTTCTGTCTCTCTCTGGCTGACTATGGCTGTGTCCAGAGCTGAATGCTAAGCACCTCCTGTCATCCATTATGGATCTGCCAGTGTCAGCGGCACCCACCTGAATGCAGCTCTGCATCCTCTCATCTCCACTAACAACCTCTCTCTCCCCATCTCTCCTTCTCTCTCTCCCTATCCCTCGCTCTAGGCATCCATCAATCCTCCCTCAGTCCACTCGTCCTACTGAAACTCACAGTTTTCACTACCTCTGTTTTTCCATTGTTCTATAAGGCATGTCTCTCCACAGAGATGTTTAATTGTCAGTGTCAGAAACAGTAGGGCAGCTATATGTTTGGGTTGAGTAGATAACCAGAAAACTGCATTGTTTTGTTGTGACACAACCACCTAGCAACGCTGAGGCTGTCAGGCCTGTTGGTGACGCAGCCAGGGGATGGCAATGATTTACCCACAAACCCCCACGGCTGTCACAACGCATCGGCATGAAGGCCCGTGCATATTTATGAGAGCTAAATATGACTCCGCAACCCTCCCTACCCAAGACCAGTGAATCATGCATCACCATCACCCCATCCGAGAGAGAGGGATGGAGGGAGGGGGGTTGAGAGGAGAAAGAGAAGGGAGAGATAGAGAGAGAGAGAGAGAGAGAGAGAGAGAGAGATCTCTCGATCAGCTCTCGGATCTCTCGCTCTCTCTCTACTCTCGCTGTCTATCGAGATGCCCTCCCTCCCTACCTCCCTCCCGCCCGTCCCTCCCTCACGCCCTCCCTCCTCCCGCCCTCCCTCCCTCCCCCTACGCCTCCCTCCCTCCCTCCCTCCCTCCCTCTCCCCTACCTCCCTCCCTCCCTCCCTCCCTCCCTCTTTCTCTTTTCTTTTTTTTTCTTTTCGGTTCGACCTTTGCCCCTTTCTCTCACCTCCTCTTTCCCGCTCTCTCTCTCTCTCGCTCGCCCTCTCTCTGCTCTCTCCTCTCTCTTGTCTCGCTCTCCTATTCTCAGAGAGTAGCAAATAGCAATCACTGCAAGACTTATATAGCTAGTCGTGAGAGTACACAATTCCCTCAGAAAAATGTAAGTGTTTGCCACCAATTAGCCACATCTAAGTAGACACGTCTCACTACCACACTATGGTAAAGGAGGAATATACTGCGGTACTGTGTACTTACTTGCATTGTGCATGGTAATACTTGATGAGGTTCTGGAGAAGGTCCACTCCCTTCTTGGTCTTGATCTCGTTGACTTTGATCAGGTACTGCAGAGAAAACACAAGAGGTGGTTTGTGAAAACTGACATCAAATAAAATGCTCTTTTACATGATTTTGGAGTATTTCACTGCTTATACCTGGTGATACATTAAACCAGGGGTGGACAATCACTGAAGGTTTTAATCATCTATTTGAACTGAAGGCTATCATTTATGAACCAGTAAATCTTCATGTTACTGCTTGGCTGAAACAAAAGCCTGCACCCACCCACATAAATGGAAACTGAGCGCAAAATGTTCCACCCTTGCATTAAACCACCATAGAAAATGTGTGTTTGTGTGAAATATGTCTTCTGAACACTTTGAATGATAATCCTATCAGAATGCCCATCCTCTGGAGGATGATCTACACTGCCAACACAGCATGGAGTCTGTGGGAGCTGGAAACAAAGTGGTAAGCATCTACATTTCACTGAAAGGAATGCCAATATAGAACATCAAGAGAGAAAGATGTAATTTGCCTGGTTTTACAGTAAACTGTGTTTGAAATGGATAACTAGAATTGTGTTATTCATTTGGTTTTAAGAAATCACTTGGGCCTCCAGAGAAAGTGTGTTTCAGTGACTAGCATCCTAAACAAGGCAGTCTAAAGATAGAGAGCAAATTCCCCCGACAAATTCATGCCCAGTGAACAAATGAATAAAACATCATATTAATCTGAGTTTATCCAATGGCGTGCCAACCTAGAACAGTTTGTGAAGAGTCAATGCTCCGCACACAGAGGACATTTAATCTATGCCAGAATGCCCTTCTGAGGCCCAGAATGTCCCTGTCCTCCCAAAGCTTCTCTGCTGCATTGCTTACAATGCAGTCATCTTTCTGTCTGTGTGTGTGTGCGTGTGTGTGCATGTATGCGTGCTCCCTTGAAACCAAACACACACACAGTCACACACACATTGCTTTTGTCTGTCTGAGAGTGTGCGGCTCAGAGATTAACCACATTTGTCTGGTGTGGGTTTAGTGTGTGTTGTGAATGCCTGTTGGTGCATGTGTTTGGGGGCTTTGTGGGAATGAGAGGTGATGGATGGATGCTACTGTATCAGTGGCTGGTCTCAGATCAGTAATACAGCCTGCTGTGCTGAGCATCACCTAGCTCTCTCCACACTAGCAACAGCAGCAGCAGAGCAGCGTGGGATGGAAGAGTGAGTTTGCATCCCAAATGGCACCCTATTCCCTATGTAGTACCCTATGTGCCCTGGTTCAAAGTAGTACACTATATAGGGAATAGGGTGCCATCTGGGATGCAACCTGAGAGCATCCTCTAATCTGGTGAGTGAGTAATGTGGAGACGGTGGGGGGTAGCGGTGGGGGTGTGGGATGAGGTAATTCACGTACCAATTCACACAATACTAGCATTGTTATCAGTCAAGCTTATAGGGTCAGCAGTTTTCCTGACCATATGACTTGCCCAGGAAAAACTCTGGACCCTAGTTATAAACTCTGAGCCCCTCTAGCACTACACTGGAAGCAATATCAACAACAACAACAACCCTGTGTAAGAAATCACCCTAAAAACCCAAGAGAGACAAACCACACCCCTCTCGCTGCACACAGAAATAGAGGTGCATGGGTTGAGCTCCTCCGTAACTGCTCCAATTAGAATCCCATTGTGAAGCACTAAGTTAATATATCAATTGTCAGTACCGTTATGCCATGTGAGCAAATAATCTGTACATAAAGAGGGAGAGTGAAGTATGCGTTTACGCCCACCGAGGGTAGCTCGTTGGCACAGCTGAGTGCATCGCTCTTACAATTTGTTATTTTACTCTAGAGTAGTGGTTTTAATATATATATATATATAGTGCTTAAAAAATAAATACAAATAAATAATAATATTTATATCTGAGTTTATTTGGTGACCCCATTGCAATTTTAGTGGGGTTGCGACCCCGACTCTGAATACCACTGCTCCAGAGGAATACAGCTCACTTACAAGCACTGGTTTACAGAAAACGACATACTGTACATCTCAGTCAGTGCCCAGTTAGCGCCTAATCAGTGCCCACTAGTCTGTGCCCAGTGTCCACTACTGACCTCACACATCTGGAGTTGGAAGAGACGGCGTTCCTTCTCCATCTCCTCAGCGATCTCAGCGCCTGTTATCTCCGTGCGAATCATCCCGTGCTGCTTGGCATGTTCCCGCTTCTCTTTCTCGATCTTTGTACTGAAATCACACAGACAGACAGACAGATAGACAGACAGACAGACAGACAGAGTGTTAGAGAAACCAGACAAGACAGACCGACAGACAGTGTTTAAGTCCATGACAACTATTTAAATCAGATGGAATTCTCAGCATGAAGTAGAGTTTTCACAGGGCGGAACATTCCAGTTAAATGATTATGTTACTCTGTGTGATATACAGTACATCCATTCTGACATTGTAATGACACCATACACAACTGTACGCAGACATAACCATTTATAGTGCAAACCCCAGGTGTCCCAACACAGCTATGTACATCTACACTCTGGATCAATATTTTCCCCAAAATCGACCAAATTTCAATACCAGTAATAATTCATATTTATGTTGAGAGTCCCTGAACATTCCGCAAAAATCAGAAGTGCCCATTTAAATCGTTTAAAACCAAGAAATGCCAGTGTTCTCTCCAATTAAGAAGGGTGCTGCACCACCTTGTTGGCTGCGCCACTATGTAAAGATTTCAGAGCAAATCAAACTGATATCTAGTAATGATAGAGTAACTATCTTTGATCGGCAATGACGGTGTGAATTTGCGAAACAGGCTGTTCATAAATTCAGAGCGTTATCATGTTCCTCAATTCAGTGCATTTCAGCAGTAGGCTATCTCGACACAGAACGCGCTCAGGAAGCACCCCGAGTATAGCGTTGCCGAATCATACAAACTTTGTAACGGCAGTTAAATAACCAAAGTTGCTAAGCTTCCTAGATAACCTCCTTCAACGAATGATAGAATATCTCCTATATTTGACAAAATCTATAAGGTTGATGATTATACAGATAGCAGATCAGCTCATGAATAACTGGCAGAAGAGAGTGGAAATAGTTGTAGGTATCTTAACGGGGACAGACTCTGTTTAAGAAAATATCCATATCTACTCTCATACCATTTGTTGATCACACATTCTCTACCGAAGCTCTCATATGGGCAGCAAGTAGGCCTACGAGACAGCGCAGAGAAGCGGGGAAAATGTTATAGCGGTATTTTGAGATATGCTTTGATAATGCATTGCAACCTATGGATTACAGAATAAAGTTAAAGATGTTCATGCAAGACAGGAGTCAAGATTTTGGGTTTCAGTGGGATTGGGACTGGATAAGAAAATTACTTTTACATTTTAGTCGTTTAGCAGATGCTCTTATCCAGAGCGACTTACAGTTAGTGAGTGCATACATTTTCATACTGGCCCCCCGTGGGAATCGAACCCACAACCCTGGCGTTGCAAAATAGCTTAGGCTCTAGGACAGGAGAAGATATCATTTTCCCTCATGCCTCTCTGTGACAGAGATGCCTATGTAGTGGATTGTGCTATCAAATTTGTGACTGTCTAAAGACTCACAATGACAGCTCAAAGAGGCACACATTATTTTATAGGCTATACTGTAGGGGTTTCCAATAGGGTTTTTTAACTGCATTCTGGTCGCGTGTGCAATCCATCGGTGTCAATTATGCGTGTGCTTTGAATTTATGGCGACTTTGCTAGGCTAAAGACGTCCATGCGTCAACCTGTTTATATATTTTATTTTTTACTTATCTGCTTATCTGCTGTGCATTATTTGTATGTTGTGGAATTGCATTAGTGCGACATTGGGGGATTTGTTTGCGTAATTTCCCAGGTCTTGTCATTACATTCTTTCGGGAAATGTGAAGAGTATTCCCGGGACAGTCCCGGGATCCTGGTTACCCATGTTAATCCCTAATGTACACATTTATTAACAAACTTACAACTTAGCTTCATAATCCTTCCAGGCTTTGTCAAATGGTTTCTTTATGTCCTGAAAGAAATGGGGGGACAAAGTATGAGTAAACAGCAGTAAGGAGGTCAATCTGGAATCGCACAGTGCAGTGTTAACTCTCTCTCCAACACAGGCCGACACCGCCACTGCAGCCAAGGAGCCAAGGCCTCATCCTCAAAATTGATGTTCTGGAAACCCACTACCACGCCCACTCCATGTTTCCAATGTTTCCAACCTCACGGGTTCATGGCCCATTTATTCGTGGTGCCTGCCTTCAGACACAACACAGGGACACAGTTTACGCAAAGATTTACAGTGTGGTCTTTTAAACAGTCAGGTCCACTAGTCCCGCCTCCCCTTCTCCATCTGTCTCTTTCTCTCTTTCTCTCACACACACACATTCTCTCTCTATATGTATTGCGATTCAATACTGTGATTTTATCGTGATTCCATGTTATAAACATATTGCTCACCATATACACTGAGTATACTAAACATTTGGTTCACCTTCTTAATATTGAGTTGCACTCCCTTTTGCCCTTAGAACAGCCTCAATTCATCGGGGCATGGGCTCTACAAGGTGTCGAAAGCGTTCCACAGGGAAGCTGGCCCATGTTGACTCCAATGCTTCCCACAGTTGTGTCAAGTTGGCTGGATGTCCTTTGGCTGGTGGACCATTCTTGATACACAAGGGAAACTGTTGAGCGTGAAAAACCCAGCAGCGTTGCAGTTCTTGACACATACCGGAGCGCCTGGCACCTACTACATACCCAGTTCAAAGGCACTTAAATATTTTGTCTTGCCCATTCACCCTCTGAATGGCACACACACAATCCATGTCTCAATTGCCTCAAGGCTTAAAAATCCTTATTTAACCTGTCTCCTCCCCTTCATCTACACTGATTGAAGTGGATTTAACAAGTGACATCAATAAGGGATCATAGCTTTCACCTGGATTAACCTGGTCAGTCTATGTCATGGAAAGAGCATGTGTTCTTAATGTTTTGTATACTCAGTGTATGTATGTGACAAGAGAGAGCCATGAGAAAACAAGTTTTGATCAGCCATTGAAATAAAAAAGTGCTGAAAACAAATTGGCTCCCTATTTAAAAAGAAGATGAAGAACAAGCTATGAAGGAAATATACTGGAGTTTTGGTGCAGGAACAGCCATCACTAACACACACACACACACACACGAATCGACAGATATGCTGAGTGGGCTCTACTAAGTGGGCTCCAGTGCTAGGGCCTCCCTTAGGGGGTCAGGCAGAGAAAGAGAGCGGAAGCGAGAGAGGGACTGAGGAGAGGAGGGCCTTTACTGTAAATCTTACCCCTTTCACACCTTTCAGGTCCCCCTTCAGCAGCGAGTCCAGGGTGAAGATCACATTATGGCTCAGGCTCTGGAGCTGAAGAGACAGAGACAGAGACAGAGACAGAGACAGAGACAGAGACAGAGACAGAGAGCGGGAGAGCGAGAGAGAGAGAGAGAGCGAGAGAGAGAGAGCGGGAGAGAGAGAGTTATTCAGTAACTCGGTCACCAAGGCAAGATTCAGGCAGCTACTCTTTCAGCTTTCATCTGGAATACATCAACACATATTTACTTGTGATGGACCGAAGAAACCTTGACAGTATTATCTTCAGTCTAAGGGTGAACTCAATCTTGGCTATTTAGGAACAAGCGAAAGCATTTTCGACTCTTAGAATGTGCTAAGCTATTAGCTATTTAGGAATCAGCAAAAGCAATTTGACTACCATTTGCTTACAGCGCTGTAACCACATTTATTAATGCAAGCCATTATTCCTGAGCATTTATTCCATTTGGGCCTGTGATGGCCAGTGCCAAGTCCCATCCAGTCCAGGAAACAAACAACACTTAATGGCCACTAATGTGTTGCTTAAGTGCCTCCGTTGCAAAGACCCAATGTCTAAATCAATCACCTACTTACTGGCTGCTGCTCTACTACTAGAGCTGGCCATGGTCTGTCTGTCTGCATCCCAAATGACACCCTATATCCTATATAGTGCACTACTTTCAACCAGAGCTCTATGGGGGTTCTATGGGCCCTGGTCAAAAGTAGTGCACTATAAAGGGAATAGGGTGCCATTTGGGATGCACCCTTTGTCTCACTTTATGGAGTGGATGGATACTACTTAGACTGGCCTGGAAACTGGGCTCAACCCCACCACTCAAGCAGACCAACAGGGTGGTCGCCTTCCTCTCACTCTGCTCTCCCTTCTTTAAAGGTGGTCAATACCACAAACTAGTGTCAGCATATGAAGAGTTCACTCCATACATAGAGAAAGAGAGAGAGTGAGTGAGTGAGTGAGTGAGTGAGTGAGTGAGTGAGAGAGAGAGAGAGAGAGAGAGAGAGAGAGAGAGAGAGAGAGAGAGAGAGAGAGAGAGAGAGAGAGAGAGAGAGAGAGAGAGAGAGAGAGAGAGAGAGAGAGAGAGAGAGAGAGAGAGCAAAATGTCCACCAGACTAATAGCAATGTCAACAACCAATGGTGATGTATCATTCTATGACAGGTTCATGTTAGGGAGTTATTAACATCAATACTTTCACCAATAGTAGTACACACTGACACCAGCCCTTGGGGACCACTTATGAAAAGGATATATTCAATAAACACTCAAATGACAACTACAGTGCATTCGGAAAGTATTCAGACCCCTAGAGGTCCTTAGCGCTCTGGAGCATGTTTTCATCAAGGATCTTTGCTCCGTTCATCTTTCCTTCGATCCTGACTAGTCTCCCATTCCCTGCCGCTGAAAAACATCCCAACAGCATGATGCTGCCACCACCATGCTTCACCGTAGGGATGGTGCCAGGTTTCCTCCAGACGGGAAGCTTGGCATTTAGGCCAAAGAGTTCAATCTTGGTTTCATCAGACCAGAGAATCTTGTTTCTCATGGTCTGAGAGTCTATAAGTGCCTTTTGGCAAACACCAAGCGGGCTGTCATGTGCCTTTTACTGAGGAGTGGCTTCCATCTGGCCACTCTACCATACATGCCTGATTGGTAGAGTGCTGCAGAGATGGTTGTCCTTCTGGAAGGTTCTCCCATCTCCACAGAGGAACTCTGGAGCTCTGTCAGCGTGACCATCGGGTTCTTGGTCACCTCCCTGACCAAGGCCCTTCTCCCTCGATTGTTCAGTTTGTCTGGGCGGCCAGCTCTAGGAAGAGTCTTGGTGGTTCCAAACTTCTTCCATTTAAGAATGATGGAGGCCACTGTGTTCTTGGGGACCTTCAATGCTGCAGAAATGTTTTGATACCCTTCCCCAGATCTGTGCCTCGACACAATCCTGTCTCAGAGCTCTACGGACA